AACAAACCAACTCGTTTCTTTTGTTATGCTGATGTCTCCAAAGCTGAAAATTACTGCTGTAGTTAGGGTTGTGCTATAAATGGGACATTCTGTATTATAATTATTTATTTCCGAGAAGTGGTTCAACGCCTGGTCTGAACTGTTTATCAAATAGTAATTTATTTAAAAAAACATTAGATAGAGATAAACCTATATCAGTAATTTATTGAGCAGAGTCCTTATACAGAGGACTGTGTAAGCCTAATACCATGTTTTTGTGATTTACGGTTATTAATATAATTATCTCTAATGTCGCTACTTTCTTGTTACTGAAGTTTAATTCTTATAACTATAAAACTATTCTTTCCTTTCCTATTCCCACTTATATCTGACTAATTTTATTGTCCAACTTTCATACAATTTTACGATGTACCTTTAGTTCTTGTGCCCCATGTTAATTCCTGCTTATAGTACAGGTCTGATTACACGGTCTCGACTCTTTTGCGGCTGTTAAGCTGACAGTCAGTTACACCTAACTCCTCTCTGTTTGTGAAAGTTTCATCTGTGTTTCTACGTTCGAAATTTGCTTCGTTTAACTGAATTTAGAGCATTCAGCTATAAAACTTTCCGTTCCTTGCAAGCCCTATCGATCGACGAACTGCGAGATGAGATTCGAGACCTTGCAGGGCGTACATCTAACCAAGAAGGAGCGAGATCGCTGAAGTACCGAATAATCTGCGGACAGCAGTCACGGTTGAATGGTTAGCACTCCCTAGGATTCACAGGGTCACGAGCTCTGTTCCCGGACGGGGTGAAATTTGTTCTGGCTGAGGGTTTTAGTTCCTCGTTCTTAATTCTTGGAAAGGACCCTGAAGCATGCTATGGCCGCTTCCTTCCACATCCTTACCATTGATCATGGACTATTGTTAGAAGCCACCGTTAAGTGAGAAAGTAAACAATTTAGAAATGTGCATATTAAGGTTAAAAAGAACACTGTATTTTTAGGACAGCTTTTCGTATTTACATAATGGCACCAGTTATGTTCAACTAATTAAGTTACAATAATTTAAACTTTCACTGTCCTTATATTTTAATAATTTCAGTCGTGTTTCAAAATAAGTCTTCTTTTTAAGTAGTGAAGAATAATGTATATGTGTCAAACAATTCAATGACCGCCCAACTTGTAACTCTCATGGGAATTTCATTTTGGTCCGCTAGTTAAAACCGATTTGAACTTGTATCAGATATTTAAAGCGAGGGCTCAATACCCACAAAGTGAATAGTCGAAGTTAAACAAGAATTTAATTAAAGGACAAAAATTTCGTTTGAAGTATTTTCTTTTATGTATGTATTTAATTACACACGAGGATAGATTAAATAGTATAACATTTATACTCATAAATAGCTTTGTCAACTATAGATTTTCAATCAACGAGAAATAAGATTTAATCTGCCAACCAAGTATTCGTTAACACAAACCGAATTTTACTTACGCTTCGATTTGAGCAATTCACAGACACTAGGAAGGACTAGTTTAGTTTACGTCCTCCTAGATTATTCTCATACGTTTCGTTTTATATTATCCCCATCTTTTTCTTAGTCTTCCGAGTAACCGCTTTACAAATGATTTCCCTACTAAATTATATGTACCTACTAATTTACATATTGAGAGTTAACTAGCCAAAACTTCCAAACTGTATGATATCAAATGCGTCATTTGGGCGTTCTGTATAGTTGGAAATGGAACAAACTCACTTACGCTCCTCTCGCTTCAAGTGACTTCTTTTCAGGGGTTATCAGAGGCCTCAATGAGCAGTAGATTATTCCTGTGTGTCCAGCAACTCTTTGGTCACATGGTAAAATTGCCCCTTATCCCAAAGGGACTGGCGAAACTACTACCAAACGACCCCATTCCTTCCACTGAAGCTCAGGTCACACAGAGACGTGACTGGAATGCTAGCTATTCACAACACATTAGAACTCATTAGGTGGTACAGTTAGTGTTTCTGTCGACTGCGAACAAACATTATTAAACCCATTATCAAAACAAAACCCTTATTGTAACTAGTAAATGGGCAATCAATCGTGTTAATGTTGAGTCAAATACATTTCAAAGACTAGCTCTAACTCCATTTTCAGGGTTCGTTTGGGGTGTATGACTCAACATTAACACGGTTGATATCCCGAGAAAATTTTATAACATAATGCACCGTTAAAGTATAATTCTCACATAGTAGACTGAATGTCTGACATGTGACAGAATTCGCTAACATAATCTTAAAAATATATTTTAAAAAAAATCCAAACTACACTCTTAAACGCTAATAAGAGATAACAATCCATCATATCAACCGCCAAAATCATGTTCTCTTCTACTTTCATACGGTCGATATGGTCTCGTCCAAAGGTCAAACATACATTTACAACTATATTTTAATGTAATAAATTCAATTATCAATGGCATGCGGATTCATCAGCGCACGTTATCTTGAGAGTTGGCTTCCTTGGTGCCACACAGTCCTTCCGACAGCGTCTTTGTCGCAGGAAGCTATTTACTACCTGTTAAGAAAACATCAGTATAGTATACCGTTGTAATTAATGATCTCCCTCCCCTAACTTACTTTGAATTTATTTGTTCCATCTCCTTTTGTCAGTGTTAGCCATTGCTGACGTGTGCTACCGCACTCATTACTTTTAGCAAGTGGTCCAATGATCCGGGCTGAGTAAATGTTTCTTGTAATACTCGTAGAGTAACCTTCTACACTTCCAGTCCTCCCCGTGCATCAATCATTTGGCAACCAAGATAAACTGCCTGCATAGTAAGATATGCTGCTTCTATGCTGGTAAATACAGACCGACTTCCAATTATTTACAAATGTGGTAACAAAATATACGGTGCCCGTACGCCACGTACAGATCTGTGTGAAGTTAAGTAAGAAATGTGTATTTTATGAAGATCTTATTTATGTAAGCTTATAATGGAAAATGGACATATTCTGCATGAGCTTGTGGAAATACACGTGTAACATTTTTTTAATCTTCGTACGATGATGGAGATATTTTATTTCCCCAGTTATCTGTATTTTGTAAGTAATCAGAACAAAAATTTCACAGTATCATTCAATATGAAAATGAAG